GTTACTCCGGGTTAAGGTAAGGATTAAGAGTTTAGAGTTTTAGGGTTTAGGGTTAGTTCAGCCCTACACCTCACATAATCACCCGAGAAACCCTAGAACCCGAAGGTCCCAAACTGAATATCTCTGTACCCCCTTATAGGAACCCTTAACGGATTCCATTAAAACTACTCCCTAAAGGCTAAACCCCAAACCAAACCTCTAAACCCCTAACCCCTAAACCCCTAAACCCTTGTAGTCACGTTATAGTAACCCTTGAATCCGATCCTCGCCTGAAATCGTCGAAACCCCAAAACCCTATAGTACCCGTCTAGATCCCTTATAGGAGCCCTAATAAACCCCTAAAGCCCTGAACCCATGAATACCCTGTCCCTAAACCCGCAAAACCGAAGTCTAGTTCCTTTGACTTCCCTTTGGTTATTAGGGAATGGAGGAATGGGGTACAATAACTACTAACTATTACAATTTCTGCCATTCTTCCATTCCCTACTTACCAAAGGTAAATTGTAAGACACCTAAACCCTAAACCTTATCCTTAAACCCCCAAACCTAAGTCTAGCTCCTTTGAAGGACCCCTAAACCCGAACCCTAAGGCTCAAAATGGTCCAAAAGCCTTATATAATATGGTCTTTAGGCCCAAAAGCCTTAAAATATGAGTCCTTAGAGCCAATTAGGGTTAAGGTAGAGTATAGGGAACCCAGCACTAATCATCCTAACCCTAAACCCTAAACCCTCAACCCTCAACCCAAAACCCTAAACCCTTAAACCCCTAAACCCTAAACCCTAAAACCCTAAACCCTAAATCCTAAACCGAGTCCTTAGAGCCGTAAAGGGAGGCAAAAAGGGCCGTGCCGGGCCTGGCCGGCCTTCGGTTGTGCGAAGAAGGGCCTCTTTCGGGGCTCGGTGTTTTTTTTGAACGGCTTTTTGATGCGGGGTTTAGGGTATAGGGCTTAGGGTTTGGGGCTTCAAGCTTCGGATTTAGGGCTTTAGGGTGTAGAGCTTCGGGTCTTCGGGTTTAGGGCTTAGGCTGCCGAAGAAATGGGAGTTGGTTCAGGACTTTTCCTGTTCTTCTAGATACAGACAAGCAACCAGGCAATTAGATTAAGCAAACCGGCTTTTGACACTCATACGCAGGCATACGGTCTGCAAGGTTTGCGGGAGGTGACGGGCGTTGGGTTCGGTGCCGCTTTCTTTAACAGGCGGTGGCGGGTCGTATGGGCTTATGAGACTCCCTTTACCATGCTATACTATGCTATACTCTGCTATACACACTATACTCTGCTATGCTATGCTATAGTATACTCTTTGCTATACACCACATCCCCACAAGGGAGTTTGCGAAAATTACTTGTGATGAATCCCCTATTTTCGGAAACCCCCACATCCCCCAAAACTAAACCCTAAACCCTACCCATCGGCTCCATAGTAATTACCTTCTAGGATTCTAAATATGAGTCCCAAAAAGGAACTAAAACCCTAAACCCTAAACCCACTATTATGGAGCCGGTGGGTAAACCCAAAAACTCTCCCTGCGGTCCTCGCGTTCGCCTCTCCGTTGGCTACCTCTGGTGGTGGTCTCGGACCCGCGGCCTCCGCCAGCAGCGGAGAATCATGGGAGTTCCTTAAAGGGATCCTTATAGGGCTCCTTTAAGGGATCCTGAAAGGGATCTATAAGGCTATAAGGGTTCTATAAAGCGGGGGTGTATGCGCGTTAGAGTAAGACTTATTGTCAGTATAGTTTCCTTACTGATTTACAACCCTAGTTGGCAAGTCCCATGATTCCCTAAGTGGCTGTTGGCGTCAGAGCTTGTAGAGGTTTCAGGGCTCACGCTATTGGAGGGCGTAGGGTTAAAAGCAAGTTTAGGGTGTATATGGGTGATTCAGACTTTGAGCTCTGGACTTGAGGTTTGGAATTTACGGTGTCGAGTTTTGGGTTTCGAGGTTAGGATGTGGTAGGGATGATGAAGATCATGGGGGTTTCTAGGATCATATTATTAAGCCACGGTAGTTGGTACTCCTTTAGAATTGTTTGCAGGCAGCTGGTGGCCGCACTAGCAATGAGAATGGCAATCGTGAATCTTGGACTGCTACCAGGGCGACCACAACTGCGCTACTGCTACTACTGCAACCCTAAAACACAAACCAATGCTGTATCGTAGGGAGCATGATCACATACTGGATGCTACTGGCACGAGTCCTGAAAACGCTGTTCCCACTATCACAGCGACGGTGACCATTGCTAGTTAGAAGCGTGACCAGCTAGGTTCTAACTCGATGATTACTAAGAGCAACACCGCACAAACGTGAGCATCATTACATGGCGAATATTCGCTATCCCACAGGCTGCAGAATGGTTCCTTTTGGGGTTCATATTTAGAATCCTATAAGGTAATCCCAAAAAGGAATTGTGGAACCTATGGGCAGACACTAATCACGCTGACCTTGAAGTTCCCTGTGCTCACATGCGTGAGCAACTCAAACCCACAACAGGCGCAATGACCCTTGGGCAAGAGCTCTGGTAACTGTGGCCCAGGCCTGCAAGTATGGTTCAGGGCTTACGACGTGTTTCAAGCACCGCAGGATTTAGGTGCAGCTGGCAAGATGATGTGAATCATGTATTCCCTATGGGCTATTTGTTCTACGCGTAGAGTAAGAACGGAAAGCGATAGGTAATCCTTCTGTCAGTCGGAATCTGGGGAACTGCGAAGGTTTTCACAATCAAGAGGCTCTTTCAGCACATGCTCAACTACCCACAGGCTCCGTAATAGTTCCTTTTTGGGGTTCGTATTTAGAATCCTATATATAAGGTAATCCCAAAAAGGAACTACTATGGCGCCTATGGGTAAACCGTAAACACTCAAGCGTAAACCCTCATCCCTCCACCTGGAAGCTAAAGCCGTTTCGGATCCTGAACCCTAGCCAGAGCCAGGGTTTAGGGTTTAAGGTTTAAGGTTTAGGGTTTAGGGTTTAAGGTTTAGGGTTTAAGGTTTAAGGTTTAGGGTTTAAGGTTTAGGGTTTAAGGTTTAGGGTTTAGGGTTACCCAGCATGCCATCAACGGGGAGGCCCTGCTCAGTGGGTAGAAGTGACTCAATGCAACATACTTGCAGTGCAAGACTTGCAGGTTCCATGTGCAGCTGTAAGTACGGTTGGAATGCCCCGAGCACCTACCTCGCTTGTAACCCTACTTACATCTACATACATTGTGTTATAGTCTTTATAAGAGGTACTAGTACATGATCGTGTACCTATGATAGTTGTTGAAACTGCAAGGCTCCACATGCTCGGGCCTTCGAAGCGTTCAAGATACCGAGAGCCTGACAAATGCGCACTCCAAGGAACGGTGCAAATGGCGTCAGGGCTTAGGACTTATGCTGTGTCAACGATGTACCCATCCGATGGCTACAGTTACTCTCGGCTACGCATTCTGCTACGTACCGCTCCCTTCAATCGCGGCTGTGCATAGAGCCGGAATCAATACTCCAGAGAAAGCAGCATCCCCTCTCCTCAGAGGGGAACTTCACACTGGAGGTCTTAGCAGTTTCGTGTTTGGGGTCGGGATTCGGGCTTCATCACATCATAAGCTCCGGGTGTCTGCATCGGGGACCTACATCAAAAAAGGCTCTGTGAAAGCCCATCGCGGCAACGTCCCTAAAACCGAATTGAACCCGAATTCTTCATTGCTACAACCCAGAGACTCCAAAACCCCTTAATTAAAGAATATACCTTAAATTGTAATCGGATCCCTAATATGATTTAAGGTAGATTCCTTAATTAAGGGATATTGGAGTCTCTGGGAAGGCTTCAAGGCTGATTGGACTGCTTGGCAGGGTTGAGAGGTCAGGGTTTCTGGCGAGCGAAAGACCAGCAGCTGCAAAGCAGGAAGCAACACGAAGCCTTGAGTTAGTTATGTCAGCGATGCGCGCAAACAGAAAGCCAAGCTCCACGTGCAACAATGCGTTATTGCGATTAACTACTTTACTTTATCTTATGTGGCTTAACTCAGCTTAGCTGAGCGGCCCAGGCTTCGCTTGGGTTAGCTTCACACAGCTCAACTTAGCTTTACTTAATCCGACTAGCTTGCGACAAAGCTGGCGTTGATTGACCAACGGACGAAATAACTGACTAACTACAGGCAACTAACTAGCTCACTCACTACTAACCCGCCACCTACCTAGCTAGCTAGCTCGCTGGCTGGCTGGCTGGCTGACTGACTGACTGACTGACTGACTGACTAACTAGCAAACCAAGTGAAGTCACTGAACAGCTCACAAACTGACCAGGTCTTTCACTTACTAAACTGAGTTAACTGATTCAGTAGCTAAACTAAGGAGCCAATAAACTAACCGACTAGCTATCCCACTCGCTCGTGCACTCACTAAACACTAGCAAGATAACCGACCACTCATAAAACTTCATACAACCCATATAACTGCTCAACTTACCTGAGCTACTTGCGAGCTGACTAACGGACTATGCCAAGATACCCAAATGCACTGAAGTGCACTGAGTTAAAGTACTCGAATGACCGACTGACTGCCTGACTGACTGACCACTGACTGACTGACGGACGGACAGACGGGAATAGCTAGCTACTGCTGCTGCTTCTGCTATTGCCACGGCTGCTGTTGATACAACTGTCGCTGCCGCCGCCACTGCTACTGCTAATGAAATGCAAGCAACATCAGAACGCTTACTCCCCCAATAGCAACAGAAACAAAAGGTTAAACTTTCAGATTACTACTAAACTATAAAAAACCCAAAAATTTAAAAGTTTGGTATTGGAAAACTAAGAACATGCAAAGCTCGGCAGACCCAAGCCTCAGCATCGGGTTGCGGAGCAGCCGCCGGAGCATCTGAAAAGCCACTGCCTCAACTATTCATGGTTGAGGGCGTGTAGGGCTGACTCAAACCCCGAGTTCCACCAAGCTCTGAAGCCTAAGTACTAAGTCCATAACCACCACTCCCAAGACGCCCCTGCGCCCATTTTTTCTGCGAAGCTGAGCTCAGCTGATGCAGCACCTCCTGGCAGACTCCGGCGCCGTGGACTCCGGCACGGAGTCCTCGTCGGCACCAGGGAACCGCGAACGCCAAACCCTAAACCCGTAAATCCCTTATAGGCACCCCTAAAATTCTCTTAAATGACCCCTAAACCCGAAACCCCAAACCAAGAACCCTGAGCCCTAAACCCCAAACCCTACCACGAAAGCCCTCGACACGGAGTCCTCGGCGCACTCGGAAACCACAGGGCCCTCGATCCCGGTGTCGTCGGCACCACCAGGGCACCCCAGCAAAGGCAAATCTTCGGACCTGGGTTTCCTCCCCTTTCGGGCTCCTTTAAAGGGATCACATAAAAATGGCTCCTTGGGTTAAGGGTTTAGGGTTTACCCCATAAAAGGATTCCTTAAAGGAACCCTTAAAGGGATCCGATAAGGCGGCTCTTTTAAAAATTCTAGTAGGTTTTTCCAGAGACCTCGGCAGACGGAGAGTCCAGGCCCCAAGCCGCAAAAGGTCTAGGGATGCTTGGGCTTTGGGGCCTTTAGGGTTGCGGGATTCATCCTAAACCCTAACCTCAAAACCCAAAAACCCTACCTTTCTGGGGGGTTCCTTATTATGATTTCCTTATATATGGCCTTAAAAAGGCAGGATATTCCGGGTTAAGGTAAACCCAAACCCTAAGCCAGAAAGTCGGAACATGGCTTTAGGAGGATTAATGCTAGGATCCCTTCTACTTTACCTTAAGGGCATGAGGAGTCTAATGTTCCAACTTTCTGGCTTCTACTATAAGGGATGCCCAGGAGGCAAGAAGGCCAGCAGAGACTTCGGGTTGTCCACGATGTAGCGATGCTCGGTGGACCAGAACTCCGGCTTCCAAACGTTCTGAAACCAGCGCTCCTGGTTTAGGGTTTAGGGTTTAGGGTTTAGGGTTACAGGCTAAGGGGTGGTCGGTTTTGTCTTTGTTCTTATAGTTACAAAGGATGTTAGTGCTTTTTGGTGGGGTGGGCTCTTCGGGTTTAAGGTTTTAGGGTTTAGGTCTGTCAGGAGAGGTTCTGGGAGTTTCGAGAAGCTAGGATACGATCTCTGTGATCCTCAGAGTCAGTTCCGATGATCTCAGCTTCTCTTTTTGGCTCCTTTTATGTAAAGCTCTCATTTGTCTGTGGGTGTTGGGCTACGATTTGAGGCCTTAGGGGGTTGAGGGTTGAGGGCTGTATCTTTCCGGCTTAGCTTTTCCAAGGCATATGGGTGGTTGTCAAAATTAGGGTCCCTTTTTGGGGTACCCTAAATGTTATATTAGGGACCCAAAAAGGGACCGTAATTTTGACAACCACCCGTATAGAGAACGTCCATTTGCAAAACATTACCTGCCAGATCTCTTGTGAAGTGCGAACAGCATTGGATCCCAACCATAAGCTGGGCAACGTGGGCCGACTAGTTACTACGAGCCTCCGACTGGCAGTACTGTACTATTACTTATCATCTGCAGCAGGATTGCAGAATTGTCAACTAGGTGGGGCTTTTAGAGCCTTTGAAAAGTATTAGTAAATAAGATCCTCTTAAGCCCAATAAGGGAAAATATAAAATGTCCCAAAGCCCTACCTAGTCAAGGCCATCCCATGTGTGTACGCTCACGTCGCATGTGAGCCTCTGACTCTTCAGCCCAAATCCTGAAGCCACCGGCCCCAGTGCCAAACACCAAGCCGCAGAAGGCTAAACTTGCCCTAATACAGGGGCCTTAATAATTGGAATAGGGTTTTGGGGTCCAGAAAACAATGTTTTTAATAAGGAGCCACCAAAATAGTATAGGTAACTATTCAAGCCCCTATAGTAATTCCAGCCTGCAACTCACTAGCTCCAAGTAAAACACTACAGCAAACACCCACATCCACCCACCCCCCCTTTCCCCCCCCCCCCCTGCCCCCCCAACCCGAAACCGATACTTTGAGGCCTGCGGTCGGTAAACCCTACACCTCAACCCTTCGCAGTGGGAAAGCGCTGTCCTCGAAGCCGGCGCCCGCCACTTCATGCCAGGCCGACAGCTGCTCCGGCCGGCAGCGCCTCAAGGCGTCTAAATCTAAGGCTTTGAGGCTTTGAGGGCTTGGGGCCGAAGAAGGTTTAGGGATTAAGGTTTAGGGTGTAACGTTTTAGGGTTGTAGGTCTCAAGGTAAGGGTTCTCGGGTACTTAAGGTGTTCAGGTTTATGGTTTAGGGACCCGTAGCACAGGTATGCTCGCGCACGGTAGCTATGCTTTCGCAACCCTGAAACCAGAAACATAACTAAACTCTACACCCTAGGCCCTACTTAAACTAAACCCGAAACCCCACTTAAACCCTAAACCCTACTGAAATCAACCATAAACCCAGGCGGATGCTACCAGGCCTATCTCCGATGGCGCAGAGCGCGCAGAGGGGCACCGGAAGCTTCTCTAAAGAGCTCGGGACGTAGGTCTCCAAAAGAGAAAAGTCCCCTTGAAGGACGGGACGAATGAAGTCCCGGATGTAGGACCTCGGATGTTTCGAATTTCAAAGGGGGAAAGGAGGGACCCTTAATGGGGACCCCTACCCTATAATGGGCTATATAATGGGTATATAAGAGTTATATTAATGGTATATACCTAGGGGTCCTTATTAAGGGTCCCTCCTTTTACCCTTTGAGTATAGAATCGGTGCTTCAAGGAGTTCCATCTTGTGAAGTTCAGTCACCACTCATTACGGACTCAGTCGTTGATTATAGAATATAGCGGCCGTAAGAATAGGGTTTTGGGGCCCATTATACTATACTTATAATCAGGACCCCCCAAAATAGTATATCTCTTCTTCTCGCGTGTTGTATTTCTGTTTGCTTGTTGCGACAGTCTTCCTCTCAACATCCGTCATAAATCTTAAATGAATATGTAGCTAGAAGCCCCCTCCCCCTACCGCACCCTCCGAACTCTAAACCCTAACCTATTTTAAACTTACCCCCTCCCCCCAAGCCCAAAACCCAAAACCCACAACCCGCGACAGCAACAAAAAAACGGAAACTCACCCTGACAGGAAACTCCTGGAGGTCCGGATTCTTGCCGTACCTGAGGCTCTTCTGAAGTCTGCGCATGCTCTTTTGGGGCCGCAGGATTCCCTTTACGAGAAGTCGGGCCAAGTCTATACCATGCTTCCCTATGAGCGTTATAGGTTTAGGGGTTTAGGTTTAGGGTTTAGGGGGATTTCAAGGCCATTGCAGCTCTAAAGGAGCTTATGGACCTACGATACCAAGAGACATCCCAAACCCCAAAACAGCCAAGCCGCGAACCGCTACTTGCAGCACCCGGTAGGCCCCAAAACCTTGTATACACTAAACCCGATAAACCTGAACCCCTAGGCCTTAAACCCCTGCATCCTCAACCCTGAGCCCTAAACTCCTAAACCCTAAAACCTAAACCCCTAATAGCCTAAACACGAAATCTTGAACCATGGCCCCGCCTCCGCTCGAAGTGATCCCAAAAGCTTTCTTCTCCGAGCCTGGCCAGCTCCATAATGGTTCCTTCCTATAAGGTAACCCCGAAAAGGAACTACTATGGAGCCTAAGGTTTAGAACTTCGGGCTGAACTTTTTTGTTTTGAGAGCCCTAAACCCTAAACCGCACAGGTACGGCTTGAGGAAGCCTACGGGAGGCGAGCCAATCCGGCAAGCTTACACACCTCCACTTACAGGAAACAGGAAACTAAAGCGAAGCAAAACCAGACTCCTACATACTAAACCTATGAATCCATAAATCCTAAATTCCTAAACACTAAGTAGCACTTTTAGATCCCGTTTTGGAACCCTTATAATACTAAACCCCCAATTTCCCCGAATCCGAGCCTTGATAGCTCGGGCTGTACCCGATCCGGGTCGTGGCCAGTGCAGTGGAGCTGCGGCGCGCGGTTTGCCGACACGTAAAGCTTCCTGAGCTGCTCTTGGGGTTTTGGGTTATAGGGTTCAAGGTTTAGGGTTTAGGGATTCGGGAATAGAGTTTTGGCTTTAACGGTCTAGCGGAAGTTTCCCTGAAGTCCCTACAACTTTCTGCAGGTGTACGGCTTCTTTCTGGCGAAGCCCTTAGATAGTGATAGGCCTTAAAATAGTCAGGCCTTAATTAGGCAAGTTGAAGTAGGGTTCAGGGGTCGAGGTGTTTGCGGTTCAGGGCTCAGGGAACTTTCAAGGATTCAATCCAGAGCTTAGTTTAAGGTTGAAGGTTTTACTTTAGAGTCCTGGGTCTGGGTAGCCCCCAACTTTGCTGCTGCCGCTGAAGAGCGTGTGTTGTTGCCATTGCTACTGTCACCACTCAGCTGCTGATACACCTCGGGTCATGACTTCATACTCAAGAATTACGAAGCCGTGAATATCTTACAATGGCTGCCGTAAAAAGTGGAGAGCCCCTGGCACGACCTCATATCTTGAAATGCCTGCACCACGACGCTTCTTGACTATAGGGTTTTGGAAGTTGGTCTTTAAGGTTTTGGGGGTTCAGGCCTGCAGGCCCTAAAAGAGTTTGAAAGCTGCAAAGTGCGTTGCTCAAAGGAACAAGCCGTAAGGCTTGAGGTCTCTCCGAACCCCCGAAGCTGAAAGCCTCAAACCCCTCCAATCCGAAGTGTTGCGAGACCCTTCGAAATCCCTTCTGATCCCTCAACAAACCCTTCTGATCCCTCTAGCAGCTACCCTAAACCCTAAACCCTGAACCCTAAACCCTAAATGCTGCACCTTAAATCCTAAACCCGAGCAAGAATGGTCGCGAGCTTCAGGGGCTGCTGCCAGCCCCTTGCGCAGAGCTGCTGCGCCAGCTCATAGGCCAGCCAAGCCTTCGAGCTCTTACAAATGAGAGCACCCCGCTACAACTGCGGCTACTCTGCTACTATGCTACTATGCCACTTACTACTACTACTACTACTACTACTACTACTACTACTACTACTACTACTACTACTACTGCTACTACTACTACTACTACCACTACTACCACTACTACTACTACTACTACTACCACTACTACTACTACTACTACTACTACTACTACTACTACTACTACTGCTACTACTACTACTACTACTACTACTACTACTATCACTAGCTACTACTACTACTACTACTACTACTACTACTACTACTACTACTACTACTACTACTACTACTACCACTACTCCTGCTGCTGCTGCTACTACTACTGCGACTACTACTGCGACTACTACTGCTACTACTACTGCTACTACTACTGCTACTGCTATTCCTACTCTCCTACTCTCCTACCTCTGCTACTACTCCTACTACTCCTATCATCTCCTACCTCTGCTACTACTCCTACAACTCCTATCACTACTTCTGCTGCTGCTGCTGCTACTACTACTACTACTACGACGACGACTCTCCTGCTCCCCTGCCCCCGCCACTGCCCCTGCTCCTGCGCATGATGGTAATGATAACAACACAAATATTTTAGATAAAAGCTATACTAATGAAAGTAGCATCATAATCATAATAACAACACTGATAGCAATGGCACAAGCAATCCTACTGACAATGATAACTATCAAAGACAATCGTGCTTTGTTGACATGATGGGCCGAGCTTAGGGCTTCGGCGGTTTGACGTGGTTCGGTTTCGTGTGAATGGAGGGCTTATGGGTTCCGCGCATCCTGCTGCAGGCATACGAAGGAAGAACGCATCTGGTAGAGGTTGAACATGTCAGGCTTCCGGGAACTGCGGTGCAGATCGAGGGAAGCGATAGGATATATTTACGGGTAGTTGGTGGTAACTGTAATCAAACATCACTAAGAGTGCAAACAGCAATCTTATCGTCGTCACAACTGTTACATACGGCATAGTCGAAAATCACCCAGCTCCAAAAACCTGAAGCACCAAGGGCCAACAAGGACAAACCGAGAAGCACCAAAGGAGTGACCGAAAATCGCGAAGGGCACCTGGGCAGGCGACCCGGTCTTCCGAACAGCGGAGAGAGTTCGGGGCTTCGGGGCCTGGGGTGCAGGGTATTTTTGGGTTTGGAGTTTAGATCCTATCTGAATGCTTCCCTGCGTACAGAATGATATGCTTATAAGGAATGTGTCAACACTCTCTTAAATCACGATACAAAGCGAACTCCAAGGTAACGAGCTAATCCGTAATTTGCGCATGCAAAATAGCATGCCTCTCCGAATCCGCAAGACGCGTTTGTAACCAAATTTATGAAAATCTCATTTGTGGCTCTATGATGTATCTTATTGTATGGGGATCCGGATAGATCTAGGGTTTAACACGGAAAAATGTCCAGAATAGGGAGAGGTCGTTTCAGAAAGTAGGAGACCGTATTAGAACCCCCAAACAGTTGGATCCTTAATTAATGTAAGAGCCCCACCCTAATTTCTGGAGACTCCCAAACACATCCTCAACAACGTCCGTCACGCGGCAGCATCAAGGTGTGAGGAACTATAGCCCACTTAACATCCCTAAACCACACTAGAAGCTCAATCCCCGGCCAGCGCGGATCCCACCCTCAACCCCAAACCCGAACACCCTACTGTAAATCCTGAACCCCAAACCCTAAACTTTACCCTAAACCCTAAACCCCTGAACCGGGTGTATCAGATCCCGAACTGCCCCCGCCCAAAACCCAAGGGAGTAAAAGTTGAAACTTTCAGATTCGATTACTCCATACCCTATAGTAACCCTTATAGACCCCCTTATGGTACCCTTATAGATCCTTATAAGAACCCCCAAAGTTGAAAAGGTGAGTTTACAGATAAGTTGACTACACGGGAATGTGATCACAAGGCCACTTCGAAGATTGGGTCCCTTTTGGATGAGCTCAGGGTTTAGTTCAGGGTCTTACGGTGGAATTGTTTAGGGGTTGGGGGCTTTGGGCTTTGGTTTAGGGCTTTGGTTCAGGATTTAGGGTGGAAGGGTTTGCTCGGGTCGGTCTAAGGTTCGAGTTTAAACAAAACCATCTCCGTCGAAAACAGCCGAGGCACTTCCTCGAAAACGGGCCGTCCTTGATTGTCTTCGTGGCTTTTGGGCTTGAGGGGAGGAGGATGACTACGCCCACAACGGCGAAAACAGGGGTCTGCTAGACTCCAGACATATATAGTTATAGTCCTAGACACCAATGCTTCCACTCCCTCAGACTTTAAGCCCCCGCCGACGAAACAATGCCCGGATCATGAAAGCCACATTAGTCGTACACATGGAGGCCAAGAATAAGCATTGACTCGAATACCAGAATGTAAAGACAATGGAGATAGAGCGAGGCCCCGAAACCCGAAACACACGGAACCTCTGCAGAAACCTGTGTACCCATAGGCTCCATAGTGGTTCTTTTTTGGGATTACCTTCTCGGATTCTAAATATGAAGCCCAAAAAGAAACTACTTTGGAGCCTCTGTGTAGAACCCTTGCTAACCTGAAGCTGGCGCACCTATGCCATCTAGCGCAGCTGCGGCGAGATCGTTCAGTGAACTGGCCTGCCGGGCTCTCGACGGCTCATCTCTTTCATGAGCTTTCTAGGGGTCCAAGGTTTATGTTTAGGGTTGAATTATGTAGGGGTTTGGGGGTTTAAGAATTTAGGGTTTAAGCTTTAGGATTTTGGGGGCGGCCCTCTTCTTCATGCGAGCCTCAGCAGGTACGGAAGTGGCTGTCACAGAAAAAACAGTGAAAGACGGGTTTTAGAGGTCTAAGAGGGACCCCAAAAAGCACATAAGCATAAGCATTTTATGGGGATATCCCTACCTTGTTGGGCTTCATTATAAGTGGGTTCAGATGGGACATCCCTTTGCTATTTTTTGCTTATGTGCTTTTGGGGCCCTATCTAAGGTTCAGGTTTCGGGCTTCACTTCCGTTGTATCAGCACACGGAACTGTTCCCGTCAAAACCCACACCTCACAAAGGTAACCCAGCCTGAACTCAGCAGCTTCATTCCTGGCACCCAGAAACCCAGTGCATGAACTGTTAAATCCGAGCCGAACCCCGCGTGAACCCCTCATTTATGCCGACCTTGCCCTGAACCCCATCTAGGATACCCAGTAACCTAAGAATAAAAAGGCCTCTCTTTTTGGTATTGGGTAACTTTCTCAGGAACCTAGGACTACAAAAAGGGAATAAGGGTACTACTGGGCATCCTAGCCATTCTCAACCTCGGCTACATCATCCCTCAATCCTACACCTTAAACCCGAAACATCCTCCCCATAACCCCTAAACACTGAGTGAGCCCTACACCAAATACACCAAACCGCCGGACCAGAAAATAGCTGCATCAATAGCATCAACAGTCACCGTAATTATTGGAGCATATGCCCTAAACCCTAAACCCTAAACCCCAAACCCCAAACCCTAAACCCTAAACCCATGTAATTACTGGGCTCTGGAAGTCCTGAACCCTTCAGCCTAAGGCCCTGAAGCCTTAAAATCCTGAACCCTGAGCCCCAATTTAGTCTAAAACACTACCGCAAAAAAAATGCTGAAGCCCTAAAGCCCTATTCCCCACAACCTGAATCCCTAAACCCCGCGCCCGAAAACCACCCTAACACCCTACGCCCCACCAAAAACCTGAAACCCCAGACCTTACCTGGTAAACACAAAAACCTACAGTTTTAAGGGTTCTACTAGGAACCTACTATTGGGTAGGGTTTGGGGTCACAGGTAAGGCCTGTAGCTTCTCTGCCATTCGGAAGCCACGCCCAGGTAGCTCCAGCGGCATTAGCTCTACCCCGCGCGGCAGGCCGGAAGCCTCGGCGGGGGGTCGTGAAAAAAGGATCGTACTACTTTCAAGGTTTCTCGTAGGGTCTCTTTTCATGACCGTGAGAACGGTCTTTTCGGGCTTCGAGTTTAGGGTTTAGGGAAATGTGCGGTTTCAGGGCCATGATCATGAGGATGCTGGCTGTTCTGCATCAGGGGGGTCAGTTTGGCAGTTTCGCTTGGGCCTGTGCTCGTTTCGTGCAAGACAATGATGACGACGACGATTCCGTGTTGATTGTATGGTGCTCATCGCGGGCATTGCTGTTGTGCAGATGCTGCTTGAGGATGGCAGAAATGCTGAAACTACCATGATGCGAGATGACCTCGACAGGGATCATGGCGGTTTTGGAGCTATGGGAATTTGCAAGCGCTTCCACCTTGATGGTACTGTTGTCAAGGATTGAAGGAATTGCGCTTTGGAGCCCAATGTTGAAGCCGCAAAATCAGGGCCTGGATTCAAATGCTGGCATATTGCGGCTACAGCACACACATCACAGCTTCTCGACGAACTGGGTCGGACTGGCCGCACGTAGTGGGCATTGTGTCTTGTCATGTTGTCATACAAGGACCAGAGGCAGCTTCTGCATATCGTGCGCAGCAAAGCCCCGATGCGACCCCCCCAAAAAGCACAAGCTTTAAGGGCCCAGTCTTGGGGACTAATGTAGGGGCCCCAATAACTAGAAGAACGACATAGAATAGGATGTAGGGATGGTATACTATGTTTTGAATGAGGGACCCAACGAAACAGGACATGTAAATCCTTTCGAGCCCCTCAAATACAGACTGCAGGCTCTGATCTCGCCAGATGCAGCAGGGAGACCCACGGGTGGAAACAGGCTCCGCTCATACCCACCGGGGCCACGCAGAAGATTCGCAACTTGGCAGTCGATGGCGAGTTTGGGGCCAGAGCGATCCAGTCGCCATACTTTCCCTGGCTGGCCATCTGCAAAAGCTGAGCTAAACTGAAGATGCGAAGATAAGCCTAGATTCGGATCCGATTCTTGACGAATTTCGGCCCCTGGAAAGCTTGGGCCAAGCTGCCGATTCGAAAAGGACAGGCATGAGAACCTGCAGACTAGGGTTTAGGGTTTAGGGTTTAGGGGTATCAGTTCTGCGAATCTTCCACGGAGAAACCACAATCCCAAGCCCAAGACCCGGCGCCTTTAGTCCTTGAGCCTCCAGCCCGAATCCCAAATCATCTGAAGCAGGATAGGGCTCTGAATACTTGAAACAGGGCTTTGAGGCTAACATAGTAGCATGATCTTACAATATTATATATATATATATATATATACATATTGTGGCTTCAGCACTTAGGGTTTAAGCTTTCGAGTTTCGGGTCCAGTTGTTCCCAAACCTGGCATACTTGCGGGATGACGGGACGTAGTAAGCGGCTTTATGCGTGCCTTGATTCGAAGTACGACTCGATGTGGCATATGATATACCTATGGACTATAGATATCCTATCATGCATGGCCACACTGAGTCTCATGATCCTTGGAGCAGTGTAGGGTTCAGCAGGTGCCTAAAACATGGCCTTGGGCCTAAAACCCCAAACCCTAAACCCTGAAGAACCTACCCTTTTTAGGGTTCCTTATTCTGATTTCCTTATACAAGTCCTTAAAGCCGTAGGTTCATCAGGGCTGCAAACCCTAAACCCTAAACCCTAAAACTTCCACAGAAAAACCAAAAACAACGAGTGCCGCACGCCGGGGCCGTCTCCAGGAGCCCTGCGGCTTCAAAGTAATGGGCTACTGGGAGGATCATGGGACTTAGTAACTAGGGTTCCTTAACGGGCTCCCTAAAAGGGATCTAGAGGGCTCCTTACAGGGATCTATAGGGTTTAGGGTCTACTAAGAGGATCATGGGACTTAGTAACTTGGGTTCTGATTGAGGTAACTGTACTTCTAACTACTTATATCACCACTTACTTGTAACCTTACTTACTAAGTCCCATGATCCTCCAAGTACTGGGGTACATGATTGCATGGCTAGCTAGAGTCTCCATTGTAGTTCCTTCTGGGGTTACCTTATTACAGGATCCGAAATACAAAATGAGCTAAGCCACTAAACAGAACTGCAATGAAGACTACGGGTGGTAACCCTCGTCTATAAGGACTCCGTAATTGGATTTCATTTGGTAGTGAGTAGAGTAGCGTCGTACATCGAAGACTTTGGGGGATGTTCTTTCTATATATTGCGACCCCTACATTATGAGTTTGCTGAAGACTGAAATTTTCCGGTTGAGGGTTGAAGGGTTTTGGATGGAAGCATACTGACGCCCTACTGAGACTTATAACTAGCCATGAACCTCCAAGCACAGACCCACTCCTCGTCAGCCCTGGTGTCGTGGTGCCGCGAGTGTCGGCCGTCCCGGTCCCGGGCATCCCGATCCCGGCCATCACGGTCCCGGCCGTCTCGACCGTCCCGACCGTCCCGGCCGTCCCTGCCGTCTCTGCCGTCCCGGCCGTCCCGGTCCTGGTTTCCGGTGCAAGGGGATGTAGAGGGTCTGGTGTTACAGGTCCGGGGAGTCGCGGGCGCAGGGCTTACCGTTTTGCGCCATTATATATGTCTAGCAAAGACATGTGAAACAGGCATGTGCATGGGCGCGTGCTGCCACACAACAATTACAAACAACTGGACCAAACACCCAACGACCAATAATACCCTTGGTGACCCCATGCACATATATATATATATATATAATGTAGATGTAAATAGGTATGGATAGAGATACGAATGTATGCATGTCTGCAAACCGTGTATATGTACAAGAGTCTAATAAAACAATAAACATGTATATGTGTGTCTCTGCATACATGAGTTTGTATGCATGCAGGCAAGCATGGAGGAACAAACGGATAGATGGAGATGTGTGTGCGTGTGTGTATGCGCTCGGCATGTATGCATTACATGTATGTGGCAGTTTCCGAAAATTAGGGCTACCTTATTTAGGGGCCCTTACAATACGGATATGTAAGGATGCTACTATTCAAAGTGATATTAGGTCCCATATTTTCGGAAACTCCCAAACCCTAAACCAAATTGATGCCTTATAGGAACCCTCAAAGGATCCCTTTAAAAGGTGCCCCGAAATTTCGGAAACTCCCATGTCTTTACCACAAAGCTGTACGCAGCAGCGACCGAGGAGCTCGATCGCGATCCCGGCTCCGGGGAGGCTCGCGCTGGTCGCCTTTTAAGGCTTTAGGGTTGAATATAGGGGGGCTTAATAATCAAAACAGGGTTGTGGGTTATAATATACTATAATTTGAACAAAGAGCCACTCAAATCAGTGTAGGTAATTGATTAGGCCCCCATATTAGGCATATTATGCTTGCACGTGCGTGCTTCAGGCCTCTTCTTCGTGCTTGAAACTTTAGGGTTTGGGCTTCTAGGGATTTTGGGGTTCAAGTTCTACCGGGGGGTTTTGAGCTTCGAGGTTTAGGGCTTCCATGGTTCAGGGCTTGGCTTACCTTGCTTGTTTGAGCTTTATTCTACGGTTGATGATAAAAATCCTGCATTACCTTAAGGACCCTGAACTATGGGAAGTATGGTATATTGCTTATTCTGGGTAATGCAGGATGTATATCATCAACAGATATCAACAGTAGCTCTTCTTTCGCCGCGGACTTTAGCGTTTTGTTCGCAAGGGGGCAGAGGGTCTGGGGTGGGTTTACGGCTCTTGAGCTTAGTCATGAGTCAGGTGGCTTTGTTTCAGTGGTTGCTTCTACCGAAGAGCTTGCGTTTCGGGGTTCACCTTGATCCCTCGTGACAGCTTTCTCGGAGGGGAGGGCTTCCTCTTGAGCGTCTAAGGCCTAGGGTTTAGGGTTTAGGGTAACAAGAATCCTGCAATATCCTGCAACTTAGAACCCTCAAATGCCCCTGTAAGTGCGAAACCACAAACGCAGTGAGAAGTCAAGGCCGCTTGTAAGACCCCCACAGTGCACCTTACAGTACATCTTGTAGCCTTGTGGGAATCCCAGAACGGAATTTCTAAAGGAACCCAAACGCACCGAGCATCTGAGCTCTGCTACTGTGTGGCCTTCACGCGGCTACTGTTCACATGAGACTATCCAGTGAAATGAAATTCCAACTGTCTTAGACTAGATTGACTAGATCACCTGAAACCCGAACCCCAAACCCAAAACCCCCCCTCCCCAAAGGCCCACAATCACAAGAATCCCAGTAAACCCTGAACCCCGAAACCCTGAACCCTAAACCCCTAAATCCTAAACCCCTAGACCCTAAACCCCTAAACCCCTAAACCCTAAACCCCTAAACCCCTAAACCCTAATCAAGCAAGTCACGGTCTCTGACATGGTCGCGCTCACGCGGCTCTCGCTCCCAGCCGCGATGCTGCTCTTGGCCCCGGTCGCGGTCGGAGAAGGCAGTGCCTGAACCCTCACCCCTATACCCAAGCCCAAACCCCAAATGAAGATCCTAGTCCGAATCCCTAAACACTATAAGAGAAGATTCTAATCCGCGACAAGTTGCGCTGCCGCTTCCAGGGCGCGTCGCTGTCGGCTTTCGTTGCCGCCTGCAACAAGGCTGAAGGGCAGCGTCGGATGTCGGGGCCGTAGTCTTTGGAGTACTTAGAGGATCGTGGGACTTAGTAAAGTAGGTTATAATTGGAGTTATAAGTCCCCTAAATGGGGTTATCCTAATTATCACCTACTTATAACCTTACTTACTAAGTCCCATGAGCCTTTAAGTAGGGCTCCTTTAAAGGATTCCTTCGGGTTCTACAAGAGTTTCCAGAAAGGTTCGAACATAGAGAAGTCTTTATCACCGCAATAGAGCATCGGGGGTTTTTCATGCTATCAGCATGTACGATTGTGCTGGAGAGAATCAGGGGATGCTATCTGTACTTGTTATGGCCCAGTTCTGCAGGGTATTCTGCAGGGTTTTATAAAGGCTCTGTAGGGTTGCTACCCAGGTTCGTATAGGGTTGTGTAAGGGCTCTACAAATTCAGGGCTTGTTTCAGGGATCAGGGGACCTCGTAAGAGTGACTCAGGCCGAGCTGACAGTTAAGCTGTAGGGCCTTAATAATTAGAATGGTTTTGGGGGTATATTATTCTACACTAAAGCCCCCAAAAAATCCTGTTCTAATTATTAAGACCTCTACATCAGCTACAGATATGCCGTTATACCTCTACCTAGACTTTTGGGTTCGGGTAGCTCCCAAATCCTCTGCTTGCAACCTGACACCAGGCTCTTTCCTGTCCTACTTCTTGCCGCTCATGAACCACAGCAATCTGGTGCCCTAAACCAACATCTCTGATGGACAGCGGCCAACTTCCTTCGTCCAAAGAGTCAGCTATCAGATGACATCACCCGGAACCCTGCACCTGGGGTTCTTCGTTAACCCACGCCCAAACCCGAAATCTTAAGCTGCACCTGTGACCCCACAGATGTGTTGTAAAGGGATGCAGGTAGACCCATACGTGCCAATTGCAAACTTTCTCCACTGGATCGTTGCGAGTTCTGCAGACACCGAAGATGGTGGGGAGATTTAGTTCTTGGGGTTTAGGGTTGAAGGCTTTGGGGCGAAGGGTCTGGGATGTAGGGTTTCGGCAAATCCTGCGTTCGCTTTATGTCGCTTCCCAGATGACCATTCGGAGTCATACTGCGAACTATGAGGGGCGGCAGTCTGGTCGACTGCACTGCAGCTACAGTACGACATCAAGAATGCGCTTGGCTTAGCACCGCATCGTACCGCTTGACACGTGAACATCGCAGTTCCAGGTTAGCCCTCTCTACACCCACAAACCTGAAACCCCTAAACAAAACGCCCCCTCAAATTAAGGGAGAAGAGGATCTTCTCGGACGCAATGGGCAGAACACAAAGAAGCCTGGGTTCCCTCGCCAACACTTAGCAGATCATAGGACTAGGGCTGAAACTAAGGTGACTACACTTATAGCTACTTTGTTGCGCACTGAAGGTACGTATAGCCTTATGTAAATAAATAAATAATAAACAAATATAAATATAAATATAAACATAAATATATATATATATATATTATATAACTTACTACGTCCCATAAACCTTGCATTCCGAAAATGGCAGAGCCCGAGGCTCTATCTCCTGTTGCTACGCAAGAAAGTCTAAAACCCAAAAGCCCTGAATAAACGGTTTAGGGTTTTAGGGTTTTAGGGTTTAGGGTTTAGGGTTTAGGGTTTAGGGTTGAATAGGAGAGTCCTTGAATCCATATAAACCCTAAATAGGAGAACTACCTAAATGCCGTAGCCCTAAACCCTAAACCCTAATAGTTACCTAGATACAGTAGAAGCCAGAAAGTTGGAATATCATTATCGTAACCCCTTTAACGTAAATTATAGGGGATCCTACCATTAATCCATATTCCAACTTTCTGGAGTTCCCTTTAGAAGAACCATATATAGGGTCCCTTATAAACCCAAAGAAGGAAAATAACAAAGGTCCCAAATCCAACCTAGAGAATTACACAACTAACCCGGCCTTGGCGCTGGTAAGGAACTTCTGCATCTGCATCTGATGATCCTCCTCAGAGCTCGCTTTCCTGGGTTGTGGTGCGGTCGCTTTCTTGGGTTGCTTTAGGTTTTGCGGTTTAGGCTTAGGGTCTAGGTCCAGGTTAAGCTGAGTTTAAGTTACCATACCGTATGATTTACTACAGGTTCCTATCACGATGCTCAACTCTGAACCCTAAGTGGGAGTTTCCGAAAATTGCGGGAAGCTTATTTTGGGGTCCTTACAATAAGGATCCTACGATTTAGGGTGCCGTATTGGGGTCCCCTATTTTTGGAAACTCCCAAATCCCTTAACGCCTTTATTGCCCAGTTTCGGCCGATCTTTCAAGGAGAAGGCCTGGACGCGAGTCTGGGGGGTCTCTTGAGCTTCCGGATGGTACTGGGAGTGCTCCTGTGCTTGCTGGGGCTGTTGGTACTGGTGTTGCGGTTGCTGATGATGATGCTGATGTTGCTGGTATTGTTGTGGGGCTTGGTGCTGTTGTTGCGGATGCTCCTGTTGCGCTTGATACGCATTGGGATAGAGTTGTGGAAAAGATGGCTGCGTCGAAGATGCTTGCTGGGCAGCCTGAGTCTGCTGGTGTGCATGCTGCTGATATGCCTGAGAATCCCCTTGCGGGTAGGCCTGCTGATACGCGCTGGCGTCTTGCTGATACAACTGCTCGCTGGCATTCTGAGCGTATGGCTGCTGTTGCCCCGGCTGTGGAGCATGATGAGCATGCTGTGCTTGCTGGTAGTTCTGCTCATGGACTTGGACTTGGGGTGCTGCTTTGGCCTGGGCCTGCGCCTGCTGAGCAAGGCTGTCTTGAAAGGATGGCTGCTGTGGGGCTGCTTTCTGAAAGGACTGTGTCTCCTGGTATGCCGCTGTAGGGGGAGGTGACTTAAAGGCCATGTGATGCTGAGCCACGGCTGGCTCATGCTGGGCCGGCACAGGTGTAGGTGCAGCCTTCGGGGGTGGCGAGTACTGAGGATGTTTTGGAAACACCGGCTGACTGATGTCCGCAAACTGCTGGGCTTCGACCGCAGATGGGGCAGCCGCCGCAGACTTGGACTTGCTCAGCAGGTCCGCGCCAGGCACCACCGCCGGCACTGCCATCGACCCCACTGCGGCAGACTTCGGGGGCACTGTCGTGGGGGGATGCGCCGGATTCAATGCTGCGGCAGGAACTACTTCGGGCATTGCTGTCACTGCCGGCGCAGCAAGACCAGGACCCGGGGTGATGGACTTGGCCTTCGCCGGATGCCTAGCAGGAACCACCTTCGGCGCAACCGTGACCGGTGCCGCTGCGGTCGCTGCTGTCCCAGCCTGGGTTCTTGTTGAGGAATTGGTTTTAAGTTACCATCAAAAGAGATCGTGAATCAAAAGTTTTCCTGACTATGGTAACTTAAATTAAAGGTGTCTTTCTTATGGTGACTTGAATTGAAGGTTTCCTCACGTGGCAACTTGTTTTAAATCCCTTAACAAGAGCCCAGCAGCCTGTAGCGGCCCTGGGCGCTTTGGGCCCACGGCCATCCCGGATTTGGCCATGGCTGCTCCAAGCGTCTCCTCGCGAGATGCGGGTTCAGGCCCTGGCGCCTTAGCAGGATTTAAGAGTTCCTAAAAGGGTTAGGGTTTAGGGTTTATAAGGTATATAGAGTTCCTGTAAGGGTTAGGGTTTAGGGTTTATAAGGTATAATAAAGATTTCCGATAAGGGTTAGGGTGTAGGGTTTAGGGTTTAGGGTTCCTAAAGAGCTCCTTTAAGGGCCTTAGCAGGTTTAGGGGTTGGTTTCAGGGGCCTCAGGGTTTAGGTGGTAGGGACTAGGGGTTTAGGGTTTAGGGGTTTAGGCTTTAGAGGCCTTAGGGTTTAGCGGCCTTGGGATTTAGGGGCCTTAGGGATTAGGGGCCTTAGGGCTTTGGGGATTTAGGGTTTAGGGGTTTAGGGTTTTGGGTTTAGGGGTCTAGGGAAGTAACTGTAGTTCTACAGATCCCATTAGAGTGGAATAGAAGTCTTGGTAAAGAAAAAAAAGGCCTATGCCTTATTAGTGTGATTTTGGGAGTTCTGAACGACAGATGAAACAGCCTTTTTGAGTCTGAATAGGACCAGCCACAGCAGCTTTGGAAGAAGTTGGGGCCTCGGATGCCACGGCAGTGTCTGCGACGGCGGCAGTCGCAGCCACTGCACCTTGTGTTTGTGCCATGGCTGTTGCGACATCCGCAGTTGCTGGAAAAGAGTATCCGGGCATCATGTTCACAGCACTCATGGTGTTCACAGTAGGCATGCCCAGGCCATAGGCTGCATAGAGAGCACTCATGTCGTAGGTGAAGCCGTAGGATGCAATGGCAGCGGCGGTGGAGTTTAGCTGCGTTGCAGTCTGCGGCTCTTGCCCCTCAGCCTGGGACTCTGCCTTGGGCTCTGGCGCAGGACTGGTCACTCTCTGTGGGGCTGGCTCGATCTTCTTCTCTGGGAGTATGATGGGCTCCGTGACCCGAGGCTCCAGTGCTTTCTTCTTGTTGTGCTCATGCGCCAGCATAGCCATTTGCATGTCAGCCTGAGGGCGGACAATAATTCGTGAAATCCAAGTGGCTGCACTATGCTGCACGACCTGCAACCATGATCTTGCGACAGTGATTGCGGAAGCTGGCCTCCATTTGCTTGCTTCTCTTTTCGGCTGCCTGGCCATACTGCAGACATGATCTAACAAGAGCCTACGCATTCAGAAGGCTTCTGCACAACATCTTGTGTACGATTTTGGATAGGCGCCAGGCGGGTGCCAGTTTAGGCACTTCCTTCAA